TATCTTTTAGATAATAAAAAAAACGCTGTCAAAATATAATCATAAAATATCAAAAATTTGCTTGTCCTTATAAAAATTACACTAAGTTTTGTTAGCATTTTTACAACTTTCTCGCTGATACAATGACCAAACAATTTCAAAGTAAACTAATGCTAGTCCATTAATTCTCATAAATTGAAGATTGCTGGCAGTTCAATATCAATGCAATTTTTTGTTCCGATCACCGCCCTCAAAAGGAATGCGACTAAAATCTAGATTAGCTTGTTTTTTTTGCCCGATTTCGAAAAATTGTAAGGATTCGAGTTTTTTTTAAATCAAATTAAAGCCCTTTTAGTCGTGACAAAGGTTCTAATGAAATTTTTCAACAAATTGATTTCACTTTCTATAAAATCTGATCTGATATAAAAAAATTTCTAGTCCAAATACAAAGGAAATCATACTGAGATTTAACTAAACGGCGTAATGAGTAGATTTTTAAAGCAACTTTCTAATCATTTTTAGCAGATTTAAATCTATTTTGATAGTGCTCTATCTTAGAAAACGTCGACTTCATATCCTTTTTTCGTTTAGCGAGCAACTATCCTTTTTCTGATCAACCTCGAAGCATGGCAAGTTTCCCATGCTTCGAGAACCCATTATTGAATTCTTGTGCACACCTTATTTTGACTACTATTTTGGCCAGGGCACATTTAAAACTACTTCAAAGAAAGTTCGTAATAAACGAAGTGCGGTTCTTTTTAATCTTATTCAAGTCCTTTTGGGCGTGGATCGAAATTTAGGTCTATTTTTTAGGTCTATTTGGGTCTATTTTTTTCCGATTTTCAGTTTTAATTGGACGTGACAAAACCTCTTTTATTCAATACTACTTCAAATTTATCATTATTTTAGTTTCCATGAGTTCTAATATTTCCAGTTTGTCAGCTAGTTGAGTCACTTTTAGTAATCAAAAACATCAAATTATAAAAAACTTCCAAAACAAAGAAGAAAAATTTAAATCTAACTTTCTTGCTAGTACTAAATTTTATGCAATCTGAAAAAGAGGAGCGGTGGTGAAGTGGAAAGGTCGAAAAGTCAGATGTTCGAGGCCTACCATGTTCCGTGCTCGTTTTTCGAGGGCGAAGTAACCTTACCCAGCCCAGAAAAGTATCCAAAAAAATTGCATGTATATCTTAACCAGGGGCACAGCAGCGGTTCTTCGTGATGAGCTGAAGAGCTCGTATATTGTTCCTTTCCCTTGTGGATGAATCGGCTTTCATTACGAGGCCAAACTGTGCGCTGGATAGGCGCACAATTTTGTGTCTATATGTTCCTGGATTCCAGAAACTAATTTTTAAAAATGTTCCAAAATGTAAGTGGATTCCACTTACAAAATTTCAGTGGATTCCGCGTACAAATCAGTGTAACGTAAATTTTGTTGGCACATTTGTTGTCGCGGATTCCGCAACAAGCGAATATAGTTAGTTTTTCTGGATTCCGCAAATGTAAGTGGATTCCGCAAAAAGTAGGCGGAATCCGCAAATACAAGCAGATTCCGCAAACTGTAAATAGATTCCGAAATTTGTTCATTACTGAACTTGCATATCAACAACTAAAAGCTGGAGCTGGAAAACTTATCTTTAGCAATCCGGAATTTGAATGCAAAGATTTAATCATTGTCAATGGAATCCACGTACAAATCTTAAAACATTGGTCAACTAAATCGGTGGATGTCATCTTTTAGTAACTGGGATACATATCCCAGCAAAACAATTTTGAGATCATAGTTTTAATAACACAACACCGAACAAAATCATGTTATGGAGTCATTGGGTTAAGAGTGTTTAGAGCTAATACGCATTGCATAACGCCGAACTAGTTCAGTGTTTGGGATTCCATCGATCCCAAATGCAGGCAAGTATTTGGGATTGATGGAATCCCAAATTTTGGAATAATATGGAATAAATATGGAATACAATCACTATATGGAGTCATTGGAATAAGAGTGTTTGGAAGCACAACACACAAAGTATTTCCGAAATAGTGGTCAAACACTCTTATTCCAAATACTGGTCAGTATTTGGGATTCATGAAATCCCAAATACTGGAATAAATTGGAAAAAATACGGAACAAATTCAATATTTGGAGTAATTGGGTTAAGAGCAATTAGAAACACAACGCACATCATATCACCGATTTAGGTCACTAATTTAGATTTCATCGATCCCAAATACTGGTCAGTATTTAGGATTCCATCAATCCCAAACACTGATCTAGTACAATCCTATTCTATTGAAATGAAATCATGTAATTGAAAGATGATTTTAAATGCTACTACATTTATATATATATATATATATATATGTGATGGGAATCCGCAAACAAAATACGGATTCCTTTTACAATTTTCGGATTCCACTTACAATTTGCATATTCCGCTGGCATTTGCGGATTCCGCAACAGCTCAATTTAACAATGCGCATTTTTGTTTGTTTGTGTGTTCCAAAAATTGTTCTGGATTCCGCAAATACATTTGCGGATTCCGCAAATTTGTATGTTTTTCGAGCGATTTTGAGCAGTACAGTGTTTTAGGTATTTGTTTGAGAAATCCATAAAAGCAAAAAAGATCAGAGAAAAGTAGCAATAATGTGGATTCCGCGACAAATCTGGTTTTGGCCTGTTGTGGAATCCGCTTACAATGCACAGAATGCACAGTTTAGTCTCGTAGTGTTTAGAGTTAGAAAAAAGTTAACTAACTTAACCATCAATAAGTCAATATTTTTGAAAAATTGCTTATGAAAAAATACAATTTGTATGTCACAAGCATTCTAATTCAATATCCACAATCCACAAGACGTTGATTCGTGATGAACAAATTGAGATTTTTGTTTCCATTGGGCGTTTTATTGCACCGTTTTGTCTTTATTGCGAAACACTCAGAACAAATTTCATCGATCCCAAATATTGGTCAGTATTTGGGATTCCATCAATCTCAAACACTGATCTAGTAAAATCAATTTCTATTGAAATCAAGTCATGTAATTAAAAGATAATTTTAAACGCTACTTCGTATATACAGATATGTAAAAGGAATCCACAAACAAAATGTGGATTCCACTGACAGTTTTTGGACTCCACTTAAAGTTTGTGGATTCCGCTTACAGTTGCGGATTCCGCAACAGCTCAATTTAGCTATGCTAATATCTTATTGTTTGTTTGTGGATTCCACAAATTGTTCTGGATTCCGCAATTATTGTTGCGGATTCCGCAAATTTGTCTGTTTTTTGAGCAATTTTAAGCATTACCGTGTTTTACGTATTTGTTTGAGGAACCCATTAAAGCAAAAAAGATTTAAAAAAAGTAGGAATGATGTGGATTCCGCGACAAATTTGATTTTGGCTTGTTGTGGAATCCGCTTACAATGCACAGATTGCGCAGTTTTGCCTCGTAAATTTTAGAGTTAGAAAAAACTTAACTAACTCAACCATCAATAAGTCAAGGTTTTAAAAAAAAAGCTCATGAAAAAATATAATTTGCATGTCACAAGCAAATTAATTCAAAACCCACAATCCACAAGACGTTGTTTTGTGGTGAACATATCGAGAAAATTGTTTCCATAGGGCGTTTTATTGCAGCATTTTGCGTAAAAAAAACTGTTCTAAATTGTCCATAGTTGTTGTCTTTATCGCTAAACTTTCTGAACAAAAACCGCGCTGCTAAATTTTTGTGATATCTTTGAAAAAGAAGAAACAATTTAACAGGTTTTAGTTTGATATTCATAGGTTAATTTGATGTCGTGGACTAAAATAAATGTATTATTTGAATGATTTACGCTTTTGTAGATGTTATTTCTTTTTGTTCGATACGAAAGTAACGGAATATTTGTGCTCGGGGTGGATTTTTTTCTCCAGACAAATTTCGACCTTTTAATTAGCTATTTTAGACGGAATTTTTTAATGTCATTCAAAAGGTACTGTTCTCCTGGGCTTAAATTTGAAAAGTTATTTCACCAGTGATCATTTTTCGTAAAGTTATGGGGGTTTAAAGATTGTCATTTTGGCCAATTTGGAACAATTAACGCGCAATAAATTTTGCGCTTTTGATGCGTAAAAGCGGAGATTTAATCCGTCTTAGAGTTCCGGTCCAGGACAACAAGCCGACGGGACTTCAAGCCGAAGGGACTTCAAGCCGAAATTAAAACTTTACACGCACCCAAAAACGCTATTTATCATCTGTAAAACGTTGCTTTTCTAAAAAATTGGTAAATTTAGACGATAATAAGCGTTATTCGTGACAATGCACCGGTAGTGATTCGCATCCGTTAATAACATCAGCCGGTTTTTGAAATGCATAAGTTATAAACATTAAAAATGCCTTCAACCATCTTTTACTTTTCAACTTTCCGAAACATCATTTGGAGGCTTAAATTATGTGCAAACGCCAATAACTAGTGAAAAAAGATCATGAAATTCAGAAATTCTTCAAACAAGTTTTCAAATTATTCATATTTCACGACTTTATAAGGAACTATTCGGCTTGAAGTCCCTAATTTTACAATTCGGCTTGAAGTCCCGTCGTCTTGATGTCCGGTACCCCTAGTATTCGTTCCAAATTGCTTGAGAGAAGCTGATTTGCCATAATTGACTTGTTACAAGGAGCAAAATCTATCCTTTTGTACTTTATATGGCGTGTGGGGGATGCTTTTCAAAAAAAATCAAGTTTTAGAAAAAAAATTCATTTTATTTTTTCAAATTTATTTTTTAATGTTATTTTTGCTCCATAAACCTTAAAAGGCAGTCGAAACATTCAGGGTTTCGCCCTGATACGAGCAGTCTTGTTATCTTTTGTTCTTTTTATCTATTTCATGGGTGATGATGGAGAACGACGGTAGCCATGGTATAAAGGTCAAATTCAAACGTGTAAGTTTTTTTTTCTAATTTAATATTTTTTGAAGATACTTGAAAAATCTCATCTTTATTTGATGTATCTGAGAATTAGGCAATTATCTGAGATTTCAGTGGGATTGACGCCTATTTATAGCTAAGTGAGTGGGCTGAAAATAAATTAAAAGCCGGCTTTCATGTCTTTCATCTGTTTTTTCCCCTATAGGCTTCCTTGGTGCGTTTCGTCAAATTTAGTCTCGTCGCTTTTAGCAATTCCGAAAATTGCGGATTTAAACCAGAAATAAATCAATAAAAGAGCATTTTTGTGTGCAACTTTTATCTAAATTTCACTGCAAATGGTAATCTGACCATAGGTGGATTTATCCTACAAGGCACACCTTAATTGCCCGGCGTGATATTGTTTCGCACCCATTTTCTGGCATTCAGACCGAATTAAGCCTTCTTATGATAATGTCCGTGTGAACAAAAACAAATCAGATTGAAGTTAAATTAAATTAAATTCTAGAATCCCCAATTTTACGAAAAAAAATTGACAATGTAAGCAATTTTGATTGGAGCCATGCAGGCTTTTTCTCCGAATTTAGAAAATTTTTGAAATTGAAAAACTGAAATATAATGAAATGGAAATGTTTCCAGTATTAATTCTGTGTCTTGTTTTTTACTCTTCGGAACTTATGACCTTACATCATTTGGAATCAATCAACTCAACAGAAGAAAACGCAGAAGCTATTTACAAGTAAGGTTTCTTCACTTCTACACTAACCAAAAGTCAAATCAGTAGCCTCCTGAGGGGAGTGGTAATCTGGTAAGGGGGCCATTTTAATTCTGGTTGCCATTCTTAAGGCTCCAACTACTTCCAAAGGCACCGTAGGCACGAATATCAAGACCTGGAAAAAAGATCGACAAAAATTTTAACACCCTTTCCCACTCGAAAAAATACTGCGCACTCCACTGAGTCAAGTTTTTGTTTTTTCTTTTTCCATCAAAAATCGAATTGCTTTGTTTTGTGCTCTTAGTTGCTTATGAATTTGATAATAATGAATGTGCTATATATGGCGGTGAACGCCTTTTAACTGCATAGTTTACAAAAAGAGAAGCGCGGCGTGTAATTTGTATATTTAGCGTCAACATCACAGTAAAAAATGAACTTTTTGTTACAGGTCAATAGTAACACACACCGTCTCTCGTTACATAATCTGCTAGAACAATGACTAAGTCTTATGATTTAAAACAATGACTAAGTCATATGATTTAGTTTTGTGACTTTATACGGCTACCATGTACGTCCATAAGTAAAATGGCGTTTGAAAAAGCAAATATTGTTTTATGATTTAACGCCAACATGCAAATCTCAGTTGCACGCAAAAAATTGAATATCACCAAAAAACATGCTAGTGCGTCCATAAATAAAATGACGTTTGAAAAAGCAAATATTGGTTTATGATTTAAAGCCAACATGCAAATCTGATTTGTACACACTCGCAAAAAAAATCTATGTATAATTGGAGGCCGGTTAGAGAAGAATGGGCCCAGCGCAGAACGGGTCTCAGCGTGAACCCAACATTGAAAATGCAATTGGGCTGATGCATGCAACTTGCTGTGGGTTTTTTTCTGTTATACGGCCAAAAACTAATTTAAAATCTTTTTAATTTTGAAACTCATATCATAATGCTCAGATATGCGTTATTAGTATAAGCAGAGGCTCACTTGACATCTGGCTAATTTTATAGGCCAGAAACAGAAAATACACCGAGCTTTGAGTTGCGGTCTACTACGGAGAACACCGCGTGGTTATCGGCGCAGCTCGAGATGCATCCAAGTTTGCATTTTTAGGATAAATCTGCATGTAACTTCTAAGAAAGGCGCAACAGCGGTCCTCCGTGATAGGTTGAACAGCTCTTTTTTTGGTCCTTTCCCTTGAGAATGAATTGTCAAAGTTAATTGGGATCTTTGTAATAATGAACTTCTGATTAAAAGTAATATGTCTATCGTCCTTTTGCTGCGAACAATTTGGGCGAATCAGAAAATGAAGTTTTGAAATTTTGTTAAAAAATCTTAAATTGCAACTTTCCCAATATTCCTAGTAGAGATCGGGCCAAATTAACAAAAGCTATCTTTACGCAAGGACAATTTTTGCGGAGAAATGATAACATGTTTCTTGATTACGGTTCAAAGTTTTTCTATTGCCTTGAACACTGAGATGGAATAGATCTGCTGTCTGATAAAACAGTTTCGGATTGAGTACACTCTATCCTTTTACGCTCTCTATTTTCGGCCGGATTGATTTGTGCAATTCCATAGTCTAATACTGATCTTATTGTTCCGACTTTCGGTACGAAAGTAACGGAATATTTGTGCTCGGGGTGGGTTTTTTTTTCTTCAGACAAATTTCGACTTTTTAACTAGCCATTTTTGACGGAATTTTTTTATATCATTCGAAAGGTATTGTTGTCCTGAGCTTAAATTTGAAAAGATATTTTACCTGTGATCATTTTTCGTTAAGTTACGGGGGTTTAAAGATTGCCATTTTGGCCAATTTGGGACAATTAACGCGCGATATATTTCGCGCTATTAACGCGTAAGCGGAGAGTTAATCCGTCTTAGAAATCATTCCAAATTGATTGAAAGAAGCTGATTTGATTTGCCATAATTGATGTGTTACAAGGAGCGAAATCTATCCTTTTGTACTTTGTATAGCGTGTGGGGGGATGATTTTCATAAAAAATTCAAATTAAAAAAAATTCATTTTGTTTATTTAATTTTTTTAATGCTATTACAGCTCCATAAACCTTAAAAGGCAGTCGGAACATTCAGGGCTTTGTCCTGATACGAGCAGTCTTGTTTACTCTTGTTTTCAGTTCTCAAAGATCTGTAGGAATGCTGAAAATGCGGGGTCATTGTGAGATCATCTTTTTACTCTATTCGTTCTACATCTAAATTCAATCATAGTTCACAAAAACATTTTAAGGCTGACTGATGTATTTTGATTGGTTCTGACCAAATAAACAGACTGTGAGCTGGTTGCACGCATTTGGAGTGTAGCAAAAAAAATCAATGGTTGAAATTGTTTGTGGGCGTTCAACAGTGCCACAGTAGAACAGTGCTAAAACTTAAAACATGATTAACTGAGCCAAAACTGATGATATTTGAGAATTTGATTTCTGTTTTTGAACAGTTGGCAATTTTGCGTGAATACTGTTTGGGGAACGATTGTTTAGCAGACCAATATTTTAGCATAAAAAGTGAAAAATGAGTACTGTAGCAGACCACCGGGAGCAGTACAACAGTTCCGAAGTACAACAGTGCCGAAAAAAAATAATTTAGTTCAACAGTGCCGAAAATGAAAACTTTGTTCAACATTGCAGAAAATATGAACAAATTTCCACATACTAATCAAAAGTTAAACGGCGAACGGGCTCTTTTTCCTATTCCCCCCACCTGCAAATTTTTGTATTTGAAAATACTGTTCACTTTGTCCGATTGTCGTGAAAATTGACATGCAAACTGATTAGGCCATAACAAGCTATTATAGTCTTCATAATTAACCTTGTAAAACCACTCGTTAGACCATAAAATTCATGTTTGAGTGAGGTGGGGGGGGAAAGGAAAAAGAGCCGGCGAACGTTTACAATCTTAAGTGGCACTTAAAGATTTTGGGAGAGAAAATTTGCAATTTAGACATTTTGACGCCAAAATAATTGTTTAATTTGCAGTTGCAGACATTTTGGCACCAAAATTGGAGTGATTTTCTTTGATAATTAGCGTCAGTGATTTCTCGCTCTTTAGAAAAAGCATACACATTATTCTGAAATTTTCCCGCCTTTTTTGGTACTGTACTTCGGCACTGTTGAAAGGGTGCCGGACATCAAGCCGACGGGACTTCAAGCCGAATTGTAAAATTAGGGACTTCAAGCCGAAAATTTTCTCATGAAGTCATGAAATAAGATTAATTTGAAAACTTTTTTGAAGAACTTCTGAATTTCATGATTTTTCTTCACTAGTTATTGGCGTTTTCATAAAATTTAAGCCTCCAAAGGATGTTTCGTTAAGTTGAAAAGTAAAACATTGTTGAAGGCATTTTTCATGTTTATAATTTATGCATTTCAAAAACCGGCTGATGTTATTAACAGATGACGATCAGAAGTGGTGCATTGTCATGAAAAACGTTTATTATCAACTAAACTAGCCTAAGATTTTGAAAAGCAACGTTTTACAGATGAAAAAACAATGATTTGAGGTGCTTGTAAAGTTTAGTTTTCGGCCTGAAGTCCCTTCGGCTTGAAGTCCCGTCGGCTTGTTGTCCTAGACCCCTGTTGAAAGCCCCCGACCACCGTAATAAAGTGATGAATGATTTTTTGACAGACTCAAAAATACGCTCAATCTGGGGCCACGCTTCCCCAATTAAGTCAATTATCTCGCAATATTTCAACAAAACTATTAATTTCCATATAAAATTGTCGTTTTCAAAAGGTTACATGTCAGTATTTAGACAACCGCGTGTTCAGACTGGTCAGTATTTAGACAAATACTGTTTCAACCAATCAGAATCGAGACAAAGAAGAAATAAATAAATAATTATTATTTTTTTTGTATTATTTATTTCTTTTCTCGATTCTGATTGGTTCATACAGTATTTGTCTAAATACTGACGAGTATGAATACGCAGCTGTCTAAATACTGGCTGCACTCCTTTTCAAAACGAGCATTTTTTGTGCGTTGATCATTTTTTTAACGCTAAATTAGACTATTGTGTTTTTGAAAATGTTAATTTTGCTAACAAAGCGTGAGATAATTTTCTCAATTGGGGAAGCTTCACCCATGACTGAGCCTATTTTTGAGTCTGTCACTCAACTCATTTTTCATTTTTTATGCTAAAAAAATAGTCTGCTAAACGATCAGTCTCCAGTAAAAACAGAACAAGACTGCTCGTATCAGGGCGAAGCCCTGAAAGTTCCGACTGCCTTTTAAGGTCTATGGAGCATAAATAAGATGAAAAATTTCAAAGTAATAAATAAAATGAACATTTTTTTTTGAAAAAATTTGAGATTTTATTTAAAAACATCCCCCCACACGTCATATTACGTACAAAGTGATAGATTTTGCGCCTATTAACAAATAAATTATGGCATATAAGCTTCCTTGAACCAATTTGGAACGATTTCTCAGACGGATTAAATCTCGCTTACGCGTTAATAGCGCGAAATTTATCGCGCGTTAATTGTCCCAAATTGGCCAAAATGGCAATCTTTAAACCCCCATAACTTTACGAAAAATGATCACAGGTGAAATATCTTTTCAAATTCAAGCTCAGGACAACAATAGTTTTCGAATGATATAAAAAAATTCCGTCAAAAACGGCTAGTTAAAAAGTCGAAATTTGTCTGAAGACAAAAAACCCACCCCGAGCACAAATATTCCGTTACTTTCGTATCGAAAGTCGGAACAATAAACAATTTTTTTTGGCTGGCTCTGTTGAAGAACATTTTTGGCGATATTGTTTCCCTTATTGTCCTGCCCGTATTGTTTGAATGTGAACGTTTTCAGTCTGATTGATGGGTAGTTTCAAGGTTACATATCTGTTCCTAGTTGAACGGATTTGTTCGGTAATATGTAGAATTTTTGGGTTTCGATAGTTGAGTCTCAAGATGTTTATAATTCGCGATCTTCTGTGAAATCTGTGTAAGCAATCTATTTAATTGTTTTAGCAGACGATGTTGTGCACTTGGTCTATTTTAG